GGGGGGGGGGGGCTTTCTTTAGAAAAAAATCAGATGACCCATGGGCCATCCCGATGCCCCCAGGGCGAGGGAAGACCGGATGGAAGGAGCTGTGGCCTCAGCAATTCCACTCCAGCGTATGTACATGCAGAGAGCAGCGGCATGGACAGACAGACACTAGGGCTGGCTGCACCTCGAGTTGCACAAGCCAACAGGTGGCAACACGGAGGGGTCCACCTCCTATGCCTGGGGCTACACATCCACAGTGGAACCCTGCTCCACTGCAGAGAGAGACAAGCCTCGATCCACGCTACCTCATGGGCGAACCTTGAAGAGAGAATGCGGAGCGAGGGGAGCCAGTCACCAAAGGACACGTATGAAGGCTCCCACGTACGTGAAGTGATCTCAAAACCACGCTCCCTGCCGTCAGGTGAGTTGGTGTCGACCGTCTCAGAGTGACCTTAGAGGACAGGGTAGAATGGCCTCTGTGGGGTGCCGAGACTGTGACTCTTTCAGGGAGCAGAAAGCCTCCTCTTTCTCCCGAGGAGCAGCTGGGGGTTGTGAACGGCTGACCGTGCAGTTACCAGCCCCACGTGGGACCATTATGCTCCCAGAAAATATCTAGGACAGGCAGATAATGTGGGGATGGTTACTAGTGGCCACCAGGGCTTGGAGGCAGGGAGAAATGGGACGTCATTGTTTAGGAAGCAGTAAGTCTCTATTTCTGGAGATGAGAAATTTGGTAAGCAAATAGTGGTCATGGTTGTGCCACCCGGTCAATGCCCTTGGTGTCATTGAGTTGTACATGGCACTGCTGTGTTACATGTGTGTACACGCATAGGTGTGTAGAAGTATATGCAACTATATGTATCTGTATGTGTATATATATATGTGAGAAAGATGAGGCTTTCTACTCCTATAAAGAGTTAGTCTTGGCAAAGTGGGTACATAAGCAAATGTGGTGAAGAAAGCTGATGGTGCCCAGCTATCAAAAGATATAGTGTCTGGGGTCTTAAAGGATTGAAGGTAAACAAGCAGCCATTTAGCTCAGAAGCCACAAAGCCCACATGGAAGAAGCACACCAGC